TTAGACAGATGTAGAACTTAATCATATGCAGAGAATATCTGAATTGGAAGATACTGGACTCTTTCATACTGGAGCAGAGCTTGGATGAGCCCAAACCTGGTCATCTTATTCCCCACCACACACACCATGCTGGGGATTGAACCCAAGGCCTAGTGCATGCTAGGCAAATGCTTTACCACTGAGCTAGTTCCCCAGTCCTGGGGCATCTTATTCTTGACTCACTATCTATGATAATCTGTAAACTCAGAATCTGATTGTGGCATACAGGGGAGGCCTGATATTGCACACTTTTTTTTTGTAAACTGGGGCTTGAACCCAGGACCTATATCTTGAGCCACTCCACCAGCCCTTTTTCTGTGATAGGTTTTTTGAGATAGGGTCTCGCAAACTATTTGCTAGGGCTGGTCTGAAGCCACAATCTTGCTGATCTTTGCCTCCTGAGTAGCTAGGATTACAGGCATGAGCCACCAGTGCCCAGCTTGCACACATTTTTGTTAGTTATTTTATAATGTAGAATATGATAGAGTGCATTTCTAAATAACAAGCTAATGAATGTTATCAGAAAGGAAAATATTATGCACTTCAGTTAAGTAAATGAATACTCCAGTTACTAGTCCAGGTTTTTTCAAACAGCTTCATTGAGGTTTAGTGATATATAATAAACTGCTCATGTTTAAAATGTAAAATTTGATAAGTTTTAACACACATATTATACATATATGAAATCATCACTATAACAAACACATCCCTAGGTTCCAAAAGTTTCCTATTGCTGTGTTATAATCCCTCCCATTGTTGTCCCCAGGTAATTACTTACTGGTTTTCTGTCACCATAGATTAGTTTGCGTTTTCAGGAATTTTATATAAATGACATACATCATATAGCATATATTATTTTTAATTTTTTTAACTCAGTATAACTTTTGGGATTCACCCATGTTGTGGCCTATTTCTATATTTGATTTCTTGTTATTGAGTAGTATTTTATTTTATGGATATACCATACTTTATCCATTTGCCTATTAGCAGACATCTGGAGTGTTCTCACTTTTTAGCTATTGGAGATTAAGCTGTTATAAGCATTTGTATATATGTCTTTGTGTGGATATATAAGTGGTGTAAGCACTCTTAAATTCTATAACTGTCATCTGAGGTTTCTGAAGTTATGAAATCATAGAGTAGACACAATTAAAATACTTCTTCATAGTTATTTGGCCAAATTCTCTAATTCCTTCTTCCAGTACTTTGTTACATAGTTATCATGTGGATATGAGTACAATGTAAGCCTTTTTAGTTCCTCCTTTTGTTCTTTCCATGGAATCCATAAATATGGTTTCCTCAAATCTATTATAAAATCTGTCTGTGTGTGTCTAAGAAGCTTCCTCTACCAGTGACTCTGCTGTGTTTTATGTTATTCTTCTGTCGCTTTATCTAAATCTGGCTCCATTTGCTGAAAAGTCCTTGTTTGATTGATCTATAACCTACTACCCAGACCTGACTTCTGTGCCTTTATAACTCTGGATACCAGCGTGTAACCAGTTACTTGCTTAAGTCATCAACGCCTGACATCTTTGGCAGCAGCCTGCAAATGCCCCCTCACTGAACCTGTTTTTATGCTGCTAGTCATGCTTTTGCTGAAAACTGCTCCCTAAGTTCACCTTCCTTTGTAGTCCAGACTTCTAGACACTGTATCTGGTTTCTACATTTGAAGTTTTCCCTCTGAGCCATTTGAACCAATCCATATTCCAGTGTGTGGTTTGATCTGCTCTCTCAGTCTTGGGGACCTGACTAATCGTGGCTCTTGGAGGACTGTAGTATACAGCATTGCCTCTGCTTTGCCCCAGGCTTGGTTCAGGAGAATTGTTCACATGTTCACGTGTTCTACAAGTAAATGACACCTCTCCTGCAACTGCTGTTGCCATCTACTGGTGAAAGGCAAAGTTGACACATGGAAGTTCTGTTTAATTTATTCATATTTAAGTTAAAATGTAAAGTAGAGCCAGACAAGGTAGCTCGCATCTGTAGTCCTAGCTCATTTGGGAGGAGGAGACTGGGAGGAGTGCTATATGAGGATAATCTGGGCAAAAAATTAGTGACACCTCATCTCAACTAACAGAGACTGGACGTGGGGAAACATGGACATGTAGATAGAAGAGCCATAGTCTAGATGGCCAAAATAATGCAAGATGTTACTTTAAAAAATAGCTATAGCAAAAAGCGCAAGTGGTAGAATACTTGCCTACCACTTTGAGATCAAACCCCAGTACAGCACACACACGAAATGTAAAGTAGAACACTATCTACTTGCTAAGTACTTGCAATTTGTACCAGTCTCTGATCCTTGTTTACTCTTTCACATGGTTCAGCCACACCAACCTCCTTTCTGTCATGCCCAACATGGCACTTGTTATCTCCTCATCTCAGAATACACTTGCACAGATCTTCAAAGAAGATGACTTCCACCAGCACTCACATCTCATGTGCAATGTGATAATCTTAGATACTACACTTGATCTTAGCCAAAAGGCTGAGAAGTGATGTGATTACCTTAGAGAGGTCTACCATGTCACACCTAGCCACTTCACCATTATATATACATGTATATATGTACATATATATGTATATGCATATACATATCTATTAGCTAATATATATTAGCATTTATAATTTGCTATATTTCTTTCATTAATTTATTCCTTATAAATTGACCTTCCCATACCCATATATGGGACAGAAGACATCAGGATTTTATAACAAGCCAAGGAGATGTTCAATCCTTAGTCATTGTTTAAATGAAAGCATAGATTACCTCTGTCAGCTTGTTGAACATCTATTTATCTATGTGAAGCCCAATTCAAATACCATTTTTACAAGAATCTCCACAAACAGATTTTGTTTCCTTTTTTCTTTTTTAGCACTTTGTATTATTTCTTTATTTTCCTTTTTCTGTGTCACAGCTGTCACACCTTCATTTTAAATATAAAATGTAGTAGAATATAGTGGCCATTTTTACTTATTTTACATTTTTGGCTAAAGAATATCATAAATGTTAGAAAGATATTTGTTAAAATCAGGAGTAATTGAAAATCAACCATGTTATAAGACTATTGACTATCTTATTCTTTTACTTATTATGAAATATTTGAAGTATGCATAAAAGAATCAGTAGAATCATACCAATACCTGTGTACCCATCAACTTTAAAACATTAATGTTAAAGACATTAATACTGAATTCCTTATGTCACTTTCCCTTATCCTTTTCTCCTCCTTTACTCCATGAAGGAATAATGGTCCTGACTGTAGTCTTTACCTGTCTGTGTGTATTTGCACGTGTATTTTTACCATTACTATCTATCTCTGTGTGTTCACTGTGAGAATCTATTACAACATATAATATTATTGTTGTTGTTGATTTTAAGTTATGTATATGGGTCATTTTACTCCTTGCTTCTTTCCTTAATATTATTTTTCTCGGATTGTCCACATTGATACCTAGAGCGTTGGGATCTAGCTATAAGATCACTTTATTGCGGTCTAATATTCCGTTATGTAACTCTTTCATAGTTTTATTGCCCATTATCTTTGCTAAAAGGCATTTAATTTTCCATTTTACAAATAATGCTACCATCAGGTCCTGGGATGTAACTCATTGGTAGAGTGCTTGCCTAGCATGCTTGAGGCCCTGAGGTCAATACTCAGCAACAAAAACAAACAAAAACAAATGCTGCTACAATGAACACTCTTGTACAATTTATCTACAGCATCAGAGTGCATTGCTTCATGGTTTACATTGAGATACGGAACTTTTGGGTCAGAGAATGCGAACACTACAGCATCATGATTAGGGACACAGACTCAGGAGCCAGACTGCTGGACACAAATCCCTACCCGACACTTTGCTGTCTTTCCCAGGAAGCCATGAGCACCAACTATTTTGAGCCATCTATGAGTGTTCATGTGCTACCTCAACCCCTGGCATCATTCAGCCAGCTTGGCTTTGGTCCTCTTGGCACTGGTGGGTCCTACAGGAGCCAATTCCCAGCTGCCACTGCTTGCTTCTGCATCCAGAACCCAGCAGGCTCTGGCTTCCTATGCAACCGTCACTTTGCATTTCTCTGCCATTTCTGGTCCATGGAGAGGTTATTTTTGAGCCTGGAGATGTTTTTTAGTTTTCCTTTTTAATATTTTATTTATCATTGCTGTGTGTCTGGAGCAGAAGTACATCAAAGCATGAACTTTCTGTGTCACCCTAATCAGAGTTGATTGTACCTCTACAACCTTTTAAAATAAACACAAATTTTAGAATTGTCTAATCATAGATTTTTCAAACTGGAAGGCATTTTAGATAAAGCCAATAACCTTATTTTATAGGTGAGGGAATTCTGGTCTCAAGAAATTAAGTGATTTACTGATGTCACATATTCAGTTGGTTCAGAGCCAGATCAAAAGCCATGGATCCCCTCTGTAACCCTTTCACCACTATCATTCACTATCACGACCTTCCCTATACGGTAAATTAACATTTTGTTTTTAATGAACATGCAACATTTTATTTTTAAGAGAGTTGAAAAATACACTAGGATTTAAACAATTAGAAAAATGATACCACATTTAAAGCTAGTATAAAGTGGTTTCTCTTGGAGAATACTGAGGGAAAAAAGTAAGAAGATAATATTTACTGCATTTGGTTTCCTTGACTTTCTGAAACTTACTAGGATGGGCCCATCAATAATGGTGTGGATACTTCCAGCCACCAAGAGCGCTGGGCCTGAAAATGAACTGTGATGAAGGGATATGACCAGCATTTACAGTGATAGCCTATATTTCTGCTGTCATATAGAAATGGCGGCTGTTTAAAGTTTTGTTGTTGTTTTTTTTTTTAACACAAGAAAGAGCAAGTATCCCTTTTAATTAGGATTTCTGGGCTTTTTTAGGTTATAAAATTTAGAGTCTGGTGTCTTTGTTAAAGTCTTTGGAACTGTTTTATTCTATTTCTAGATCTTTTAGCTGTGCCTAAGCACCCGTATGCTGCTATGGAGAACTGGGGACTAAGTATTTTTGTGGAACAAAGAATACTGCTGGATCCCAGTGTTTCATCTATTTCTTATTTGCTGGATGTCACCATGGTCATTGTTCATGAGATATGTCACCAGGTATGAGAAAGAAGATCAGGTGTAAGTATAACATGGAAACTATCTGGAATGTAGAATGATTTCAGATAATCCAGATTAGGAGCTAAATGATTGTCTTCCCAGTTAAGTTTTGTATGAAGCAGTATGAAGTTTCTTTTTTTTTGAAGATATATCATTTTTCTCAAATGACAGCACAAACAAAACCTCATAAACTGATCTTACTGTATAAACAATAGTCATTCAGTCATGCAGCAGCCATGCCTTTGGAGTTCCCATCTGGGTGCTGTTTCTTATCAACCTTGTTTTATTTTCTTGTGATTATTAGTGTGTATATGGGATGTGTAGTGATGGCAATTGATTTATTGCATTGTTGCAAAATGCAGCTGAGTTTTGTGTACGTGTCAAAATTTGCTTTTGCCAAAGTCAATTTGTTATTCCCCTTTTCCCATCATGTAGACACTGAGGAAAGTCTTTCACTAACTCAGCCATAGACTCTTTGTTTTCAAATGATTGATATTTTTTTCTTGGCATGTTTAGAAATTCATATGTAAATTAGCTATCTTTGTAGTGAAGCTAAGATAAAATTAATTTCACTTGGATTTTATGCACTTTGTTACCATGAGTGGAAGGTATTAGAGTGATTTCTTTTTGTAATGCTTATCTGAGTCTTGATTTTAGTGGAAAAATCACTGAAAATAGATGCTCTTGCTAATAGAAAGCAATACATGTCCTGATTAACTATGGGTAGTTTTTTAACTTAAAACATCAGAAATCTCATTGTGATATCATTTTAAAATGATATTTTAAAACTTGATACCATTTTAAAAGCTAGAAAAACTGAAGAAAGAGTGATGTGGAAAATGCTGTCAGTGAAAAAGGTGAACTGTTAAATGCTAATAAATAAATATGACTTAATGATAAATTGGTACAGGCTGTGTGACCATTTACCTAAATGTCAGCCTTTTGCAGTGAACTTGTAAGATGTTTATTCCTGTCATGCTGACCAGGTCAGACATGTATTTGTTAACTCAGAAAGTATAAAGGATCAATTATAGTTATAACCGGGGCTCCTCTTCTGTGCTAAACAGAGTGATTTCTACCTACTCTGGCAACTCTGAGGCATAAGAAGATTCTTTCTTGAATATTCCTATAAATTACAAGTTACATATAGAGTTTTGTTGAAATGAAAGCACACTGATAATATAATTTTCTGGATGATTGTTTTTCTTTTATTTTCATATTGTAAGTTAATTTCTTATAATGGCTTAGTAGTGGTAGGCCACTTACTAAGAGGAAACAGACCAAAAGCTAGGAGAAACACTTAAAATAGCTTTGCTATTCTTGTCACATTAATTTTTATATTACCTTTCCTTCCCAGCTATTTATTACCTCAATTCTGAGATAGGCTGTTAACTTAAAAGGGAAACATGTATTTTGAATAAATAATTTAAAAATTAAAATGTAAGTTATGTGTTCATCAATGCATTCATAGCTATCTTTTATTTGTATTTAAATTAGAGCTTCTCCAGAGAAGGTGAAGCTTTATTGTTAATATTAAAACACTGGGGGTCACCAAGCTCTTTAATATGATCTGATAAGTTGTGATCTTAAGTCTGGTACTTGCCTGACTTTCAGGACTTTTTCATACTTGCTTTCTCTTGGTCTCCTGTATTCCAGCCTCACAGATCTTCCATTTCTTAAAGAGAGGATTCCCACATGGAGTCTACACTAAGCATTATTTGCATCTGCCTGGAATCCTCTTGTACAAGGATTTCTCATGACTGATCCTTCTTGTCATTTAAAGTCTCGGCTCAAATCTCATCTGCTTAGAGAGAATGGTTTTGCTTTTATAATCCCAAACAGTCCCTTCTCCATTTCTATAATACTTTATTGAGGTCTGAAATTATGTTATTCTTTTTTTTTTTTAATTGTCTACCTTACCTCATCTTCCCAGCCTCCACACTAAATTGTAACCTGCATGAGAAGGGACATTATCTAGCTTTTCATCATTGAATCTCAAGTCTTTAGGATACTCCTGGCAAGTAATGTATTTTTTTCTCTATAAAAAAAGAATTCCTTCAACTTTCTAAACTAAGCAAGAGTTTCAGAGTAATGCATCCTGCTTTAATCAAAACACCAATTAAAAACTTCAACATCATTATTTATTTATTTTTTGGCAGTACTGGGGCTTGAACTCAGGGCCTACACTTTGAGCCACTTGACCAGCCCTTTTTTGTGAAGGGTTGTTTTGAGATAAGGTCTTGAGGAACTACTTGCTCAGGCTGGCTTTGAACTCTATTCTCCTGATCTCTGCCTCCTGAGTAGTTAAGATTATAAATGTGAGCCACCAATGCCCGCTAAAAACTTCATTACTTTTCATGAAACAATCTTAGAGAGATTGTCTTGTTTTACCCCTTCATTATCATCGCATCATAAAAAGTCAAGTACAGAGGACCACCAAAGCCTTTAGTTGGGTCAATAAGCCAGTTACTCCTCTGAAATGACTCTGTCACTGCAGGGTGGTGGTGATTCATTACTTCCAGTGATGAGTCATTCACTGCCTCACAAGACAATATTTTTCTGTATTGGGCCAACTAATTTAGTTAGCGAGTTTTCTGCATCTTCAGCAGTCATTTACCAGTTCTAATTTCCATTCATTATTCCAAGTTTGTCCCTTGTAGGGTCACAAGAAACAAACCTTTTCTTTTTCTACATAATAGGCCTTCAAATATTTGGAGGCAGCTGACAGCTTTTTATCTCCCAAGTCCTTTCTTCACCAAGTATTCTTATTTGTTCCTTGAGCATTTTTTTTGTTCTTTGTTAAATGTATTTATAAATATCAGTGTCACCCAAGTAGATGAATAAATCAAAGTAGTCTTGCCACAACACATTTTAAGATCATAAAAACAATGGGGAGTAACCTCCAGTTATGATAATCGTAGTTTAACACATTTAATTTTAGATAAAATCATTCTAAGAGTAAATTTTATGTGGTGCCCTTTCATTTTGTTGTTGCAGTGGTTTGGTGACCTCGTGACTCCTGTGTGGTGGGAAGATGTGTGGCTGAAGGAAGGTTTTGCTCACTACTTTGAATTTGTGGGTACAGACTACCTCTACCCTGGCTGGAACATGGTAAGTGCCTTTCCTGAATGACTTTTAACACCCAATCATAGGTTGATCTGGTACTACGTTGAGCTTATATCAGCATTAGAGGTGACTGAAAATACCATTTGATGTACGAAAAAAGTCATCTGCCCAGTAAATAAAAGTAACTAGCTATTTTAATGTCAGTATTCCAGAATAGTTATCTTTCAGAATTTGACTTATTATAGATTGACTTCAAAATGCCACAGTATAACTAAGTGGAAATATTTTAAAACATAGAATTTTATGAAAATGACAAATCCTTTAAATAGGGAAGTCAACAGCAATTTAATAAGTAATATTGTAAATATAGGATATTTTAAGGTATAGAAAGATGAGCACCTAATACTTCTTCCAAGAGATGAAAGAAATTAGGCAAAACATTTGATATATTATAGCTATAGATATGGTTATTTTAGGATTAAAAGACTATGAGGTGTCATTAACTTTATTTAGGAATAGTTATATATTATTATAGTTATATACTATTCCTAAATAAATATGCTGCAGGAACATTTTTGTACATCTGAACCTGAAGTACTATTTTTTTGTGTCCTAAACTGTGATTTTTTTAAGTGTCCTGGAAGAAAATGTGCAGGGTCTGATTTTTACATCTTTTTTACATCAGTTTTTCACTTTACATAAGATTTTATTTATCATAGTTGACTGTGTTACAATTACATAGAAACCATGGTATATGCTATTTTGAATTCAAAATTTAAATTTAATGGTACTATCAAATTAAGTAAACATTTTAGTTTGTCAACAATTAACTTTCAGTAGCTCAAATTGCACTTGCAATATCGCATAGGTCATTATATGTGTGTGTGCTTACATCACTTTATTGAGACATATTGGACATACAAAAGTGTACATATATCATGCATACAGCTCTAGGAGTTTGAGATTTATTTTATAACCATGAAACCATTGTTATAATTTATGTCATAAATATATCTTGTCACCTCTGAAAGTTACTTTACACTTTCTTTCATTATTTTTACTATTTTGTGATAATATTTAACGTAAGATCTTGACTGCTCTCTTGTCAAATTTTTAAGTACATAATACAGTGTTGTTGACTATAGACACTATGTCGTACAAAAGCTTTTGCCTCTTACTCATGCTATGCAACTAGAACTTTGCAACCTTTGTCTAATTCCTCTTCCTTTCATCCTCCCTCAACCTGTGGTAATCACCATTGTATTCTCTGCTTCCATATTTTTAGCTATTTTGATTTCTCAAATCAATGAGATTACACAGTGTGGGTCCTCCTGTGTCTGGCCTATTTCACATAGTATAATATCTTCCATGTTTACTTATCTTGTCATAAATAGCAAGATTTTCTTCTCTTTTAAGGTCATAGAATTTTCCATCACATATTTAACCTCATTTCCTTTATCAGTTCACCCATGCTTTCATATGTTTTTTACACTGCTCTTTTGACATTCTAAGTCATCAACAGTGGATGATTGTCATCATTCCAAGTATTTTTGAAGAACACGTAAACCAAGATGAAATGTAAAATTCTCTGTGAGTCATCATGTAACTTCTCTACTGTAAATTCAGCTGAGTCCTGCGGAGTAAAAACGTTAACTTATCTCACAGAGGAAATGGTACAGTATTAATACCACGTCAGTATATTTTAATCATGCACGTGCAGTTTTGTCCACATTTTACAAAGGCAACATGGCTCGTTTACTTGGGGATGTATGTATGATGCAATTTCAAAAAGTTTTAATTGAAGCATTTCACTATTACAATGAAATGAATTTTAAAAGTTTATAAAGAACTTTAAGGAAAAACCACCAATAACATGAAATCCTATTTGAAGCATTCATTAACCAAAGTAAAATTCCAAAGCTTAAATATTTAAGGTTACTGAAACATTTCCAAAAGTATCTTTTCATTTTTGGATAACTTTGAATCAGCTTTAAACTCTTCATTATTCTGTGGATTATTACTGATTTATAATTTCATTACATCTCAATATTAAAAGATGTTTTTATTACAAATGACATGTTACCCATACAGGTAAGTTTTATTTTAGCTCATTCAGCTACTTGTAATAAAATCCTTTTTATTCATCATTTTGAAAAGTACATCTTATATCAAAAAGTAATCAATAAAATTATACATGGCTGAAAACTGATAGCTTTGATTTTTTGAACATAGTCACGTATCTTCAGTTTCAATGTCCTTATTCTACTTTAAGAGTATTTGGAATATTTTTTTATTTTTCATAGGTCTTTTGGAGATTTTTGTAAAAACTATATCTAAGATTTTTGCCCTTTAATAGAATATAAATTATGCACTGGAAGTATAAAAACTTTGAGGTGATCAAGATATAAGATTTTTGTTATGAATTCATATATGATAATGAAGAATGGAAACTAATGATGGCACAATTATAGTAAGGCAGAAGGCTCACCCTTTTGATGAGATGAAAGAATAAACTTCATTAATTAGACAATGAGGAGAAACAACAAGTATTCTTATAATGTCTTTTTATGTTCAGACTGCAAAACTTACAAATATTTTCTGATCTATGACCGCTTTGATTTTTTGGCAACTTTATTCAGTGGAATACCTCAACATAATAAATTCACAAAACCTATGCTAAGAAACTCTGTGGACAAATTGCCTCTTTATGTATCATTACTATCTTTTTTGCAAATAAAATTTTAAGAAAACGTTAGCCACATAAATGAGAGAGGATGGTAAGTGACTGTAGGGCTGGGCCGGCACTGTTTTTCGTAATGGCATCAGCAAGGAGTGAAAGAAATACTGCACAGAATAGGAGTAAGAGCCGTGTCAACGGCAACTCATACTCCTGTGATATGCACAGAAGTTTACCTATGAGTGCATGGCTTGGGTTTCACTAGAGCTGATCCTAGAATAGAAACACCAGAAGTCAGGCTCATGTCAGAAGTAAAATTCAGGAAGTTGACCTCTTCCTTTCTAACATCAAAAACTGTGCTTTTATCATTTTTAGGTGCCAGGTCTCAAATACTGAAACACAGATTCAATTTGCTAGGGAGATTAGTGTGACAATCTACCTTCCATGGAACAGTAATAAAGATGGCCAGAATGAGATGGAATTGCTTTGATTTTAACAGTCTTGTTTTGCTTAACTATTAGTAAAACCTTAGATTGTATTTATCTATGTGTTTTCAGAGTGAGTTTCTAATATAGAAGCAATCAGTTTTCATACTAGCTCTACTACATGAAGTAAAAAAAATTACATAAAATAAAACCTAAATTTATCATTTTATAGATATGAGCCTTCACAAAGAGAATGATGTGGGGTGAGGATTGGGAATAGGAAATTCAGATTCTAAGAAAGCCTCTCTCACTCATTCTTATCACTTGAAAAGCAGAACAAATGTACTGAATTAATAAAGTCCTATAATTTTTGTGAGGTCTTTCAAAGGCATGATTAGCTATAGATATGTGAGAAGACATCATGGACCTGAGAGCTGATATTCCATTAGAAAGGTACATTGATTTTATGTATAGATACTGTAACATTTCCAACACCAGTAATCCATTTTGATACCCCAGATTTATATCAGTTATTTACAGACTTCAAAAGAATTTCTATAAACTTTGTGTTGGGATTCAGTTGCATCAAATCAATTTTTCTCCATACTAGCAGTGTGAACTATTCTATAGGAACATAAGTCAGATACTAACAAAACATATAATTGCTTAATAACTCTTGATCATTTTCATTTAAAAAGTGCATGATAAAATAATTTTAATACTAGAAAAGATGCGTAGTAAAATGCCTCTTTGCAGAAGATTTAAAAATCCAGTTCTGATGCAGGTCAAATCACAGCCCTTTGCATATTGCATAAGTTTGCATTATAATTTGTATAGTCTATGTTGTAGGTGCCTCCTTCAGTTTCCTGAATGTAACATTGTGAGGAAGTGCTTTTGTAATTACAGTCATTAACCGTAAGTATATCTTCTCTTGTTTAAGGAATTACAGCACTTTCCACAGCAATAAGTTTAAAGTTATACATTGATAAAATTTGTAGACTGGAATTCTCCCTAAATTTTTGTAAGAACCTTCTGCATGGAAAAACATGCAACTAACTTTCATTATGTTAAATACTTAGAATGCCTCAAAGTGTATTGCCTAGAACTTTAAAACAAATAGTCTTTACATCATCTTCAGGACCAAAGTAGCAAAAACTAATTCTACCGTTGGACCAGTATAATTGTAAAGTGTTGCAATAACAATTGCCTATTAAAATATGACCGACATTGCAGTAAAATCATCCTTACCTTTTAAATTATTTTATTTTCATTCAAAAGGACTTGACCATTGACTCACTGGTATATTATGTTTATTGAGTTACATTTTTTTCTGGTTTAAATATAGAGATGTATTGTTTAATGATTCTATTCATAGTGAATATTCTGTAATTCAAAGAGAGGAAAACAGAAAAGCAGAGAGAAAAGAATGTGATTTTTGTTAATAGTTTACTTGTTTGGGTGTTCACTTCTTAAGTCCATCCTTGATCCAGTGTCTACAGGGAAAAATGATTTCACATACTTTTAAAAGTATATATTAATGTACATTCCAACAACAGTTTTGTATATTGATGCTATTGCCTATAATTCATTAAAATCAAAATATATTCCCCCAGTAGTGGGACCAATCATAGACCATTTGGAAACTAAATATTGATTTTAGTATCTTACCTTGTACATAATAAATACCAAATAAATGCATATATGTATACTTTTGATTTTCCATATAATTCTGCTTGTCTGTTCTGATCAAAGTCTGCATACAGCATTTGACGCTTCAGAAATGGCAAATTAGAAGGTGATCAATTGTTTTTTTAACTGGCTAAAGATACTTTATTGTCAAATGACTCTCACCTATTTAATATGAAAAATTTTAAAAGCTTCCTGCCTAGTCCCAAGGGTCTGTGGTCTTTTTGATTATATTCACTTGCTCAAAAGTGAAATTT